GAACAGTTCCAAAGCAGACATGCACGTGGCCTGTATTTTTATATATTGGATCACACTACTCGCTGTATATATTTTAATTTGCTTTTTTGTTTTCCTATAAATGCCAGTAACAGACAGTTAAAATAATTATATATTTTAAAATGTCAAGTTAATAGTTGCAACTAATTAATAGCCAAGAGAAATTCAAAGTTTTATATAAGAAAAAAAGTTATTTAAAAAAAATGCCTTTTCTTATATTTAGTTATAAATATTTAATTTGTTAAACGTTGTGCTGAGGATTCATAAGCTCTCCTACAATAAAGATTAAACAATGATCTACCCCCAACTATAGAGCTCAGTTATACGTGAGTATCACAAACTAACCACAAGTCCTCAACCCAACAATAAGATAATTCACATGATGCATGTTCAGCAGATATTTTTGTGTTTCCATGATACCTATTAAATAAAAGCATTAAATGTCATTAATGTAATTGCAAAAACAATAAATATGCCATTGGTTTGAACAGAAGATACATGTAAAACAAAATATTAATTCTCGTACGGTTGTTCATAAACTTGTCTCTAGGAGCGAGATGAAGCTATACTGGCTAAAAAAAGCGCAGAAAGGGAGAAAGAAATCCTTTTGGAGAAACTCAAAGAAAACCATAAAGAATGGGGCAGCTTCCAGCAAGAGTTGGTGGAAAAGGACAAGCGAATGAAAGAAATGGACCGAACTCTTCGTTCGTCTGACTATGAGGCAAAGGCCTCTCTCAGCCTCCACCAGGGATTCATCAGTCAGTTGGCTACAATCCTCAGCAATGGCTTTATAACCGTGCCCAGGACGGAGGAAGCCGTCAAGGAGAGAATCTTAGATATCCATAGCAACGAGCAAAAACTGAAATCAGTAAGTCTTACCGACAAAAATATGTTATCAACTGGAATCAAAGTAGTCCGTTCTTTTATAGTTTCAAACTAGGTTCGCTCTTTTGAAATTATACAAATTATTAATATGGAAGGAAGACTAAGATAAAGTGAGATATTAAACCCTGATAATATATGTATGTTCCTCCTGGTTTCATATATATATACACATGCACACATTACAACTTGTAGAGTACTTTTCAGGATTATATTGATCCAGCACGCAGAATAGTATCACACCCTAGAACTAAGGGTAACGTCTTACCGGGCCTTAAAATGGCCGGACTTAGTACCCGAGGTCAGGGACACAGAACGAGACACAGCGATAAGGAAAAGCCAAAAGTTAAGGATACCAGAAATCAGGGAGGTCAAAACGAAGCCAAAGTCAAAAAAACAGAAAAACACGATCAGGAACACACTCTTGGATAACCATATAAGGAAAACCCCAACAGGACAATGAGCTAAGGAATAAGTGAGTTTAAATAACCCTCTTGCAGATCTGATTGGCTTTACCTAGCTCTTGACCCCAAATCGTGCGTGTGCGTCTTTTGCGTGACGTCACCCACACATCCACGTCGTCTTTACCATGGACAGACGTGGAGCTATATAAAATTGCGTGGGTCAGGCCGCACAAGTCAGGCATCATGGCAGAAGACCACCGAGCGGCACGCTCCTCGATCTTCGGAAGTTAATTATCTCCATTTTTACCATATGGATAAGAAGGATATGTGACAGTACTTTAACTCAGCTTAACTCTGCCAACTTAAAGAGTTACTAAAATCATCATAATATCTACAGTCCGCTGTAGTAGGTATGATGACAGGAGTACCCGTGCCTGGTTCTCTGGTAATAAAATAGTTTCACAACAGTTTGCACCCTTACCTGGCACCCCGCCAGCCTGTGATGCTCCCTAGTGGTCTTGTGTGTATGTATCATTAAACATTACTTGAAATAGGAACATGAAACATAAATATTAGATTGGATGTTCTATTTGTGAGCTCCTGTTATCTCCCACCCATGTATACATAAATGCTAAATTTAATTTTGTATTGTAAAGCGACACAAAATGAAATGGAGCTATTAAGTCACATTTACTTTCTGCTCCTGGTCAGATAAATTAATCTTTCAAAAATCTAGTTGGCCCTTCTGCATAGTGCAGACAGACTGTAAATCTACACTTCCTGCTTCTGCAGAGCAGCAGAAGCTTCGCCCCTCACCATTCATTGGACGAGAGCGTCAGCTGACATTCTCTACAGTAAAATTTGCACAGAATTGACATAAGCCAGCCGGGACTCTAGCTCAGTACTTGCTGACTCCCCAATGACGGTGCTTCAATTGGAGTTACACCTCTGGCAGTAGACAGGTTAAACTCTGCTTTTCATAGCACAACACTGTACATCCACATTTCAGGCACCATGACCACTTCAAATTACGGAAGTGGTCATGGTGCTGGTAGTAATCCTTAACCCCTTAAGGACCAAACTTTTGGAATAAAAGGGAATCATGACATGTCACACGTCATGTGTCCTTAAGGGGTTAAAGCTGCTAATGGGTGCTATTATGTGATAATGGTTGCCTTCAGTTGAAGATATTTAGCATATTTTTTTACTTATATGAACAATTACTTGATTTTTTTCTGTGATTGCCCCGTGTTCCTTGTTTCTGCATATTCTGTCCACTCTGTGAAATTATCTCGTACTGATTTGAAAGATGGATAATTCCTTCAAGAATTTGTTTAGAAGGTTTGTATGAGGTCAGATCGTGATTGGTAATTATGAGAAATGTAAGTAGACGTTGACATATCAGAAGGTAGTTCTGATATCCGAGTTCAATTCTGTTCATTTAAGCTTAAATAATGTTCATAAAGTACGTGCTCTTCGAAATCTCAAACACGTTGTTAGCGGGCTTCCTTGCTGCAGTCATTAGATTCTGATTTGCGAACTGGAAAAAAAGTATAATGAAATAGTTATTTTCTTTCTATTAGTGTCAGTGTCAAGTTTAGGCACCGTAAACTCTATCGCCCCCTGTCCACCCGTAAGTAGGCAAATTATTTTCTAACAGTTTGACACATTTCACTGACACATGCACTGTATGAGCATGGGCAGAATTGATGTCACTAATAAAGTTGTAGACACTGCCATATTAGTGATTTCCATTATATTAGATATTAGTGATAAGGAGTCCAGACTAGGAATGCACTGGGGACTAAGGAGGACCATTTGAAATGTTTGACTACTTAACATGGGGCAGCACCAGTGGATTCCTGGCACCATAACAACCACACTAGTGTTGGAGCATAGACTCATTTTAAACCACATTCCCCATATTGATTGGCTGAAAGATGACTGAAAAGTATTACGGAAGTAAAGCACTGTAGCAGCTTATTGTAATGGATGTGAGTGCAATGGCATGATTCATTATTGACTTAAGTGGGTAAGAAGGGGAATGAGGGCACCTGCAATATAATGAAAAGTTAGGACAATGGCTATCAAACCATGGCATTGCATTTGCAGCTTCATAGCGCAGTAGGCGACAGTGGTTGTGGTGTTTGGGAGCTCTTTTACGAGACCTGAAAGCAGGATGCACTAAATAGTGATTGTCCATTAAATAATGTTTCCTAAACAGGTGAATGAGGAACTTCAGCAGAAGGTGGTCAAGCTTAGCAAACAGCTAGATCAACAGCGTGAGCTATACCACGAGGCAGTGACCAAGTCATACAAAGTGGAAGAACGTCTGCAGGAAAACCAAGATTCCATTAAACATTTAAAGGGCAAGCTCGCGTCAGAAGAAATGATCAAAGATGGTTTTAACATGGAAAGAAAGAAGGTAATTGTAGCAAACATTTATATTCAAAGTTAAAGTGAAGATGTCTATTTTTGTACGGCACTAGCATGATCTGGTCATCTATAAAATGTTGAGATTCTTGGTATCAATGGTATATGCCCACTCCATTTTTACAGAAAAATACCTTTTTCCCCTCTCACCAACACTAATTGTGTTAAAAAATCCCTTCAGAGAGGAGGGGGATTTACAGTCTGTCTGCACTTTGCAGAAGGGCCAACTAGATTTTTGAAAGATACATTAATTTATCTGACCAGGAGCAGAAAGTAAATGGGACTTAATAGCTCTATTTCATTTTGTGTCACTTTACAATACAAAATTACATTTAGCATTTATGTATTCATGGGTGGGAGATAACAGGAGCTCACAAATGGAACATGCCATCCAATATTTATGTTTCATGTTCCTATTTCAAGCAATGTTTAATGATACACACACAGGCAGGTTTGACATCTCTCTGGTTTTGCCTGGGTTTGTAATGGAACCTCAGATATCAATCTCATAAATAGCCATGGATAAATCTCAGACAATAAGTTGAGTTCAGTTATGTCATACTGACAGATTTCCTGTAGTTTGGCTCCTGTCCATCATTCTGCAACCTATCTACTCTATATATAAAACCTCTACCAAAATCATATTTATACCTAAATAGTTTTTTCTGTAAATAACAAAATATCGACATAGTGATTACAGGTTTAAATATAAAATTATTGACTACAGAGACCATACAAATAAACAGTAGAAAAAATCCACAGCAGGCACTATCCAGGAATGGATCCTCAAAGTAGACTCCATCCGAGTCATGGAAGAGCTAAGCATCTCCATCTCCCATATGTACAAAAAGATTTGGAATCCTTGGCTGGAATTCTTACAGAAAGAAGCCAAGTCCTAAACCCCCTCCAACCCCCACTTTTTATCTTTACTACACTCCTATGTGCCATTCACTCATATTGCACCATTCTCCCATCATACCCAGATTCCTCCAAACCTCTGGGGAGGGCAGACTGCCAGAACTAAATAATAATATATTACTAGGGACTAACCTTAGAGGTATATGAGCAATAAGATATATCTCCTCGGTTTTGACGATAACAAAAAGGCACATGCAATCCATGGGGCCACGGTACAAAACTGATCTGTAGTCCCCCCCACCTCCCTGATCTGTGCCCCCCACCCCCAGACGCACACACACATTCAGACAGACACATACACCCCCCCGACAGACACATGCATACACACACATACATACAGACATACACACTGTCTGTATGTGTGTGTGTGTCTGTATGTGTGTGTCTGTATGATAAACACAGACACACATACAGGCACATACATACAGACACACACATACACAAAATGTTTAAGTCACCCTCCTGTTTCCTACCTTTTGCAGGAGGGTGACTTACTTGGGGTCCAGTGGGGGCTCAGCCTGATGGGAGTCAGAGTTTTTATTCTGACTCCCTCCACCTTCCTCCCGCGCGGCTATCTATACATTTTAGATTCTGTTATATTTCCTAGAACTTTTGTGTATTTTTTAAACATTTTTCCTATTACCTTCATTAGAGACAATTGAATGTATTAACTCATATATACCAATGTTGTCTCACTCCTTTACCTACTACTTAACCGATACTACATCCACTATCTACCTTATCACATCATGGCCTGAGACGTGGCACACGGGGACGGGTTTCTACCAGAAGAAACAAATAATGAGCCTAGTAATGGCCATATAGACAATATTTTCAGTATGGTTCAGACAGGATCAGATATACTCCAGATGGCTAAATGTATCTGGTTAAACTATACTTACTGCTACCATGTGCATATTGACTTCTTGGACTGGCGGTGGCTAAATGGACTTTACTGATGGCTAACCTAGTGTGTGTAATCAATGGACAGGAACACATAGATCCAGAATAACACATGGACATAGTTTGGGCGATCCAAGTCAGCCATATTCCATAAGAAGATACAATATGACAATATTCATAGTCGGGACTGGAGCACATTGTTTCTACGTAGGACTAATGGACAGGATAGGAGCAGGGATAGATAACAGGACTATTGAATGATAAATAGGTGCAGAAATCACATATATAACAGCAGGGAATTGGTGGCAGACTGGACAGGAGCCAATATACAGAAACAGGTCAGCATGACATGGCTTAACTCAATATATTGCAAATGAATCTTTAGATGGGAAGTGTCCTGCCGTTTATGGCTCTGGCTTGTCAAGTCACAATACAAACTTGAGTAACGTTAGAGAGATGTCAGGCCTGCCAATGGGCGTTAATTATTAAACCTTTTTCACGAAATTGGTTTTAAATTTGTATTAAAATTATTCTGCTATTTCTAAAAGAAAATTACAGTAAAAAAATGTACATCGCAATTCCTTTCCACAGCTTAAGAAGTTTTTAACACAGCTGGCGGAAAAGCTGAATATGAGTGAGGACATATCAACTGAGAGTCTGGTGTCACAATATGAATTGCTGCTGAACAGAGCTGAAGAGATAAGCATGAGGACCAGAGATTTTGGAAGCGAGAACAAATCTCTAGTCTACAATCTCCAAAAGAAGGTAACGATCCTCCTGAGTACATATTTCAGATACCAAGCTATATCTAATCATCATCCAGGATGCCTGTGGAAGGATTACAAGTTGGAACTATGACAACTCTTGTTTTCAGATTGCATCTTCGGCTTTAGATCTCAGTAACAGGTCCACAGATGTTGATATCAAAATGCTGGTGTTGTGAGAGCTTTAAAGTTTGTCTATTCAGGTTTCTGCAAGCTTTTTTCACTAGCTCTATATCAGTGGCCTTGCTGGAGTGGTTGTGGTGCTATAGGGCAGAGCTTGCGTCAATCATCACTTCCTACATGATACTTTTATATTGAGGATATTAATAAAAACTGACCTATAGAGGGTGCATGGTAACTTGTTTGAAATTCAGAAGGTATGGAAAGTAGGGTGACCACATTTCGAAAATGCCATTTAGGGACACTTCCTTGCCCCTCCCGGCCCCCTTCTTCACAATCACATGAACACTAGTGAGTCCATGATAACGATTTTACCCTCCTCCCTCATTCCATGCACTTACCTGGTCCTAGGAGCTCCTCTCTCTTTCCTCCCGCGTGGCCGTCTGCAAAGAGCGCTGGGAGGAAGAGATGTCATCGCGTGTGATCTCACTTCCTCGCAGTCCTGGGAGGGGAGGGAAAGAGGGAGGGTTGCTACTCGCGCATCTCCACCAGCGGGCAGCAAATGAGAGTCCGCGGCTCTGGCATAGTGGGGAAGCCAACGGGCCCCCTCGTCACCAATATGGGGCCCAGCTCATTCTGGGACATTACAAAATGTGGGACTGTCCCGGGTGATCCCGGACACGTGAGCACCCTAATGTGAAGGGAAGCAAACAGATTTGTAAGATTTTTGAAAATAGTTAAAAAATAAAAATAAAAAAGACTCTGACTGGACCACTAGAAACTGACTAACATCATAATAAATGCACAAGCACCATAGAAATGGATTCATTGCACTTTTGTTACTTTTTGTCCAAATGACACATAAAGGTATGTGAGATACCATTTTCGTGCAGAGCAAACACACATCTTTTAGACAACCCAAAATTTTACAAGGCTGTTTTATTTATTTATTTTGCTTTATTTTAAACATCAGCAATCCTAAGAGAAGGCATTAAAAGGAAATTCTAGGCACCAACATCATTGGATCTCAATGAATTGTGATTTTGGGGGTGTTGATGCCGCCCTAGGCTTGCGAATACAAACAGTATCATTTCTTGGAAACAACACTGTTTATATATTGCAATTCCCACTCCTCCAGACATTCAGACAGTCACTATGGAGCTTTAGACTAAAATAGATTCAATAATTGAATCCATTTTATGTCTGGCGTCATCGTGCAAAGTATACGGACACAGTACACCGAGTTGTGTCCGGTGTTTCTGTATCAGCACTGCTCTTGAGATGTAGCTTAGAAACGTGTATGCTCACACCAGTAAGATAACGACTAGATAGGCATTCCTGTTAATGCTCACAAAATGATCTGTGTGCAGGAAATTCTGGTAATGGTAACAAAAATTAAGATATGAAACATGAGCTAATATTTACTTATCAGCTGCTTATCGTTAATGTGTCATTTTATTGGCCTATTCCATACATACAATTATATTGGATAACCAGACTATTATGCCCCGTTTCCACTGAGTGGTACGGTTCGGGTCGGTACGGTCTGGTACGCTATTTTGAGTGTTTCCATTATGAAAGTGGCCCATACAACCAAACCAAACTGCTCCATTCCTGGGCCCCCTTCAGATGTAGGTCCATAGGAAATAGTACGGTATGGTTAGGGCGGAGCTACTGGCGTCACACAATACAATGAAATTGATTGGCGGACAGAAAAACGGCAATGCTCACGACAAATGACACGCTAGGCATTTAATCTAAATCCTACATGTTCCCTTGCGGTCTGACTTGCAGTGGAAACGCTCACCTGAATAGGCTGGACCATCCTAACCCTTCCGAACCATACCGACCCGAACCATACCGCTCAGTGGAAACGAGGCATTACAGTACACATCTATCAAAAATCTACCCATTTTTATTTATATTCTCTTGATATCAACTACCGATTTCTTCTTCTATCAACCTGTACATTAGTTATTGGTCTATTTTTCTTAAAATGGTCTTTGGTGACTAAGAACCTGCCAATTATTTATATATTCCTCTAGGAAACAGACAACCAATGACATCTTACCATACAATCTGATCACCTACTGATTGGTGTCTGATCTTTTTCTCTACAAATCCATTAAAGGATAACTCCATACCCTAAAGGCACTTTAGCTTGCTGAAAAACTTTGTGTGAAGAGTGTTTCATTTTGAAAAAAGTGCAGATTTCAAAAGAAATTTAAACTTTTAAAAACTAACCTGGTAACGCCCCCTTGGCTTTCAAGCAGACAACAGGTTCTGTTACATCCTGGCTTCATTAGCTCAATACAGCTGAAGAGGCAGCAATTGCTCAGACCAGCCTCGCAAAGACTTCTTATTGAACTGCATTGCGAAGTTTGTGATTGGACAGCCACAGAAAGTCTGGGTGAGGTCTAAAGGGGAGGGCTTGCAGAGGCAGCAGACAAGAGATCTACAGGTTTTGCAAGCTGATTTTAGATATACCAGCAATGAAAATATGCACAATTAAATGCATGCAAGTGTTCATTTGGGACATATATACTAAACAGTGATTTATATGTGTTGTTTGTGGACAGTGGATTGTCCCTTTAACTATATACAATTCTATACCTCTATCAATCAGCCAACTGTTAATTTATTATTTTATGACACCATCAAGCATTTATCAATGTCTTCCATTATGTATCTGATAACTAATCACTGATCTATTCCTTTATAGAACTATCAGATTTATAGCTTACTCTCCATCTAGGAAACCTCTAACCTGATATTCTGAGAAATTATTATTCTATTGGTCTATATTTATAACACTCTTAGCTATCCGTTTCCTTCAGTATATACATTTGTCAATTATCCGTGTGTGTGTGTGTGTGTGTCTGCAAAGTTTGTTTGTTTGTCTACCTATTTATCTTAAGTAAAAATAAAAAAATAAAACATTTTTTTTTTCCCCTTCAGGTGAATTCCCAAATGGAAAAAATAGAGTTAAAATCTTCAAAAATTGTACAACTCGAGACAAAAATCAAACAGTTAGAAGAAGAGAGAGAGAAGCAACTCTTTCTAAGTGCTGAAAATTCCGCTAGTCTGACAGCCCAAAAATTGCAGAAGAAGGTCGAGAGACTCCAGGGACAGCTTGGTGACATGAAAATTGCTAATCAAAAACTTGCGGCTCAGCTTGTCGATATGAACGATCTAAAGGTGAATACAGCACTTTAGGAAGTTTAGTGAAGAATTATATGGCGATTTACTCACATAAGCAGCACTTCACAGCAATACTCAAGTTAAACTCAATACAGCGAGTATTGAGACATTGTTACTTACACTCGTTTGGTATTTTATCTTTAAAACTTTTTTTTTCATTATTTGCGGTTTAATTTGATTTTAACAAGTTGCTATTTTGTGGTGACGTTTTACTATCCGTTATAATTATCACATACATCTAGCATTTAGTAAGTGTTTGAACTTTATCTTGAAAATTATGTAAAATTTCCCTTTTAACCAAAAACTTGCATTCTACACTGATCAGCCACAACATTAAAACCACTGACCGGTGAAGTGAATTACATTTATTATATCGTTACAATGACATCTGTCAAGCTGTGGGATATATTGGGAAGCAAGGGAACAGTCAGTTCTTGAATTCCATGTGTTGGAAGCAGG